GAGCCTTTGGTGTAGTTTTTCTGGGAGCTGGCTGCTAACTCATTGAAGGACAGAGCGAGCCTGGAAGTGTTTATGACTTCTGAAACATCTTGAAAGTATCACATGAATGGACACATATCAAAGACTGTAAACTCAGTATCTATACATACAGTTCTGGTAAAGTTGGGCTACCGTGCCTGAGGATCTTGCCCCAGCAATGCCTGTTAAACCAATCATATTGAAAGGGAATCTTGAGTGGGTTTTAGTTAGAAGGTTATGGAATGTAGTGGGCCTATTATGAGAGCCAGTTCCTTGTATTACTTCTACATGTTAATAGTTTTGGAATTTGAGTCTGTTACTGAAGCCACTTTGCCAATTTATAGATAACTTGTTCTAAGTCATAATTGCTATGCTTTCCCATCTCTTTGAGAAGATAATTTTTGCTTGCCTGCTTTTTTGGGGGGGGGGGGGCACAATGACTAATCTCTGCTTCTAAATATTAAAGCAAAATGGAGATGGAGAATACCTGCAGGACAGTAACTTGAGCCTTTCTTTGCATCTTTGTAAAGTATAGAATCACAGAGTTGGCAGAGACCACAAGAGCCATCCAATTCAGTCCCCTGCCATGTAGTAATACACAATCAAGTATCACAAAGAGATACTGAAGAAGCAACAGATTGTTTTGGAGAAGGATCCTGCAAGTAGTCTCTAGCAACTAAAAAGATATGTTTTCATTCCTGAGTAGATGGTCCTCTTCCGGACTGCAACTGTTGTTGCTATGCATCCTTTTGTTGACTGCTCTGTACTGTTGGAACTCAGAAGAGAAACTGACTTTTCCATTGAGGTTCTTTTCTGTTCAACAGGTAGAAGACTGGTTGATCAGACTCAGCCTTGCAACTGTTAAGGCTTTCAAGTATTATTTCTTTATTCTTATCAATTCTTATCCTTTGTTCTGGCTTTCATTTTGTTCCACTTTCATTCTGTTTTCACCAGCTTTTATTTCAACTCTTTTCAGAAGTTTTATCATATCTTTTTATAAACTGAAACTATAGTCAAGCCATGCTCTTGGAAAGAACAGCTATCTTAATCCTCTGCTGATTGCTGCTTAACCAGCTGTGCAGAGCGTGTTTGCACAATGTAAAACTTATGTTTCCCTGTGTTAGTGGATTAGTTTCTTTTCCAAAACTAAGATTGTATCACGGAAACATAAGAAGGGCTCTACTGGATCACACCAAAACCTTGTCTTGCCCAGTATCCTGTTTCCCATAGTAGCCAGATAGATGCCATTGCAAATACAGGATTTGAGGGTGATAGGCCTCTCCTGCTGTAACTCCCTTGCAAGTCATATTCAAATGCACACTTCCTCTGATCCCTGAGAAATACATATCCATCATGACAGCCAGTCATAGACTATTATATATTCTTGAATTTGTGCTGTCAGCACACAGGTAAATTAAATTTAGAAAATTAAAATATAACTTTATTTTTTTTAAAAATAATATGACCCTTTATTAGTATATATATATTTCTTTGTGGTCTCTGTGAATCACACGAATGGGTTTTAGCTACGCAGGCACAGATAAAACCCATTTGTGTGAATTCGCAGATGACCACTCGAAGAAATACCGTTACAGGTAAGCAACCTATAGAATTTCAAGTTCTAGCTTTACTGCTGTTCATTATAATTATACACTGTACTTTTCCTTTTCAAAAGATCCAGTTGATAGATTTTGCTCCTTATGAATTAAAAACTGATAATTTTTACCAAGAAAATATAATGAAGAATTTTCAAAAACCAAGTCTTCTCAGAAAAAAATGAATATTTTTTTGAAAAGGCTACACCAGAGGTATGTGTACATAAGAACTCTATCCAAAGACCTTTCATTACTTGTTCAATGAACCCTACTCTGTTAACTACTGGCCACTGACTGACTTGTTTTCTCTTTCTGAAAGCTGTATGAGCAGGAGAGAGATAGACTAAGTCATCAGTTGCAGTATGTACTGTCTTCAGTACTGCAGCTGTTTTTAGTTTGGTCTTAAACAAAGAGCAGTCTAAGGAGAAACAAGATACTGGAGGAGATACAAGAACTGATTGAAAGATAGCCCAAGTTTAAATGCACAGTGCAACAAACAACTCAGTTATATGTCACAACTGGAGAATATCCCAATAGTGGGAGGCTGAATATAATTCTCCAGTTGATATTTGTTAATGTAATAGCAATTTCTTCTTTGTGGTCTTTGTGACACACATGTGTGGGTTATCCTGCACCTGGCAGAGAATTTCAGAACTTCCTAGAGCTGAACAATGTCTTTTGATGGGAAGCTGCTCCCATCCATACCCAAAGTACATGCCCCCATGCAACTCCATATTGTCCATTGTTTCAGTTAGACCTTATCCTTCTAAAGCATTTCTAAAGAGCAGATACGCACTTCATTTGCCTTGTTCTCTTTCTGTTCTTCTTTCTGCCTCCCTTTGCATTTTATTGATGGTTCTTTGGGACACTTCTAAGTCTGTTATCTAAAAAGCATTCTCCAGAAGATATTCTGGCTGCATGTTTTGTATGTGTGTGTCTTTGCCTCTGTGTGTGGATCCTGTCATCATACAAACATTTTTGTTGCCTGTTGTACCTGAGGAGATCCCATACCATTAACACAAAGATAGCAGATACACTTGGCTGTGTAGTCCACAATCCATTATTGAGTTTATTTGATAATCTTAGTGTCTGAGATATTGTGAAACATTGGCATAGCATAAAACTCCTCCAGTGTGCCTACTTTGGAGCTTAGAAAAACTGGAGGTCCGCTGCATCAAGAGCAGGACTAGAGGTGGCCTCCCTTCCTCCACACCTCCTCCTTTCTTCTGACAACATGCAGGCTGCGGCTGCAGTTGCCATGGCTGCTTCACCCCCATTTTCAGTGATCACCCTTGGAAGAAGAGCAACAAAGGTGGCCTGAACTGCCTGCAAGGTACATTGAGAAGAAAGAGGCAGTGGCTACAGCAGTAACTGAGCAAGAATTGGTGGTAACAGGAGGGAGAACAGAACTCCTGTGCTTACATAAGGAGGTATTGAATGCCTTCTAATGTAACATTCCAAAATGTCCTTTTGATAATGGAATTGGCGTTAAGAATAATGCCCAAATGAGATCCTAGCTATTGAAATTAGAACGATGATGATTTGGAAACTAAAGGAGTGAAAAAGGCATTTGGATGGAGCTATTTGGAAATAAAGTATTAAAAGTTCCTCCTCTTATGTTTTTTGCTCTTCATTGCAACTTCTGCTTTTTATTTTCAAAAACTCCCTGTATGTAAGTTGGTCTTAGATTTTTACTGTAAATGAAAACATTCTCATGAAAGCAAAGGACATAAATCCTAATATACTCTCCGGAGCTATTAATTTTATTTGTATATGCAAACTACTCAAGTGAGTATAAAAGACAAGTTATTCATGTTTTCTTTTTGCTTCATCATATAGACTAATTAAAGCAGATGACAATGTAAACAGTAAAAGCTGTCATAAGTTCAGTGACCAAAGGCAGCATAATCATATCAGTGGAAACATGAAAATCAACTATGATTAACAGAAGGGGAAATAATCCATAAATGAAAAAACAAGGAGGAAAAATAATCAACTGTCACCCCAAATATGAGCCTAGGTTTTGACCAACATTTGCAGGCAGGCTTTAACAATAGGAAACAGCAACTTGAAATGAAGTGGGCGACTGACTAGTGAACAGTGCAGACGGTCATGCACACAAATATTTGCTACATTACTGTGCTACTTTCAAAGCAGCAGCCAAGACAATGTTCATATCATCTCTTTTACAAAGCTGAAATTGTATTACCGCATGTTCAGGAGGAGGAAGAGCAAGAGTGTAACCTCATTTTCTGGCACAGAAATTATTGATGGAATTTCATAGTTTTGTAAAATAAGGTTATTTGTAGATTCTTGGCTGATTTTATATCTTGTGTTGGTTCAGAGCCAAACTTGACTGAGCATACACATAATACTTGTCATCGATAATTATAGCTGCTTTGATAGCTTGGACACATAAGACTAGGTTAAACGTATACATTCGCTGATAACATGTTCTTCATGCATATTAAGGTCTTTCTTGATGCTTTTAACCCAAGAAAACTGAACATGAGGTACAGATATGCATACTATTGTAGAAGATGGCTATTTCATAATAATTAAATATGTATTTGTGGATTATACTACATACATATTGAAGAAAACGAGTAAAACTGGTACTCCTGCCCTAATGCTTCAAAAGCCCCTTTTCAGCTACACCATATACTCACTCCAGAAAGTTGGACATTCTGATGCAGCACATGGAAGTTCTAGTTCAGTCTGGTGAGCTCAGGTGTGCTTGCAAAAGCATGCACATCTCTCTCTGAATACTAACAAATTTACTGAATTTCATTTTAAACTATTTCAAGATGTATGGGATGCCTATTTGTATCATCATTGGTAGAAACCAGTTGAAGAGCCCTATAGTATTGAGGCTTCAATATTACTGAGCATTATCATCTTGCACTCAGTGCAAAGTAACTATGCCATTTTGCAGAACTTTACAATTTCGTATCTTATCTCTCTGTTCAGAGTTCAGATTAAGTTTGTCCTAAGGAAATGTTTGCAGTGTAATGCTGTTGCAAGTTAAAATGTGTGCTATGTCTTCTATATCTTTCTCTAATCCTTCGAGCTTCTCTCTGTATATGATTTAGGGTTACATTCCGAAAAGCAAATGGGAGATGGATACCTCTGAAGCAAAACTAGGTGGGTATTTCATTTTTTTTAATATCTTAAAAATATTTGCACAGCTATACTTCACTGAAGGCTTACCTATGACAAAACAAAATGAATAAAATTTAGCCTTTCTGAAGATATATTACCCAATGATATCTGTAATATGCAGCTTGTCTTGTGCAGTTGGAAAGCACCAATAATCAGATCATTGGACTTCTAAGATTTTGTGCGGCTTGCGTAATGCCTTTATCAACAGGAAAAATTTATAATATCTTCAGTGTGGTGTAGTGGTTTGAGCGTTGGACTACAACTCTAGAGAACAGGGTTCACATCCCTGCTCAGCCATGGAAACCCACTGGGTGTCTTTGGTCAAATCACACTCTGTCAGCTTCAGAGGAAGGCAAAGGCAAACCCTCTCTGAACAAATCTTGCCAAGAAAACACCATGATGGAGCCGCCTTAGGGTTACCATAAGTTGGAAATAACTTGAAGACACACAGGAACAACAAAATGTTTCATATAGAATTCCAAAGGCAACAAGAACCAGCATGGTTAGCCTGAGCATTGTTAACATTATACCACCTTGGTATCGTTGGGAGTCAGCAAGTAACCACCAGTATGTCAAAGTATTGCTATATGGAAAGCTGTTGTAACATCACTGATTGTCAGCTCACTCCCTGTTATATTGCAATCTGGTGCTTGTAAGAGAGAAAGGATATAAAGACCAGAGTTCCTCTTTTTCTTTTTTTAAATTTTGGTTGCTTTCCTTTATAGAATGTGGCTTTCTTATAAAACCACTTTTGATTGAACAGTTTACATGTATGCTTCTTGATTTTGAACTATTTATGACCAGTCAAATTAGTGAAAGAAAGGGATTCATTGTAAATTATTGTCATGTCTTTTTGGTAGGATTCATAAAAAGTAGACTTTTCTGAAAAAGAAAATTATTTTTTGCTCCTTCTTGCTGTAAAATGTCAACAGCAAGAATCAAGAATGTATATTGTGTATATAATGCTGAATAATAATACATAAAAGACAGTCCATTACACTTCAGTTTCTATATTGCAAACTGAATTAAATAATTCGTACATGCATCCCAACATCATCCTTGGAAGCTTTGTTATGTAAGATAGTAAGATGGGGCTCCATTCCCTGGCACTGTTTGCATAAAAAAGCTTTTTGATAGTTCTGGGTGTCTTCTATTATGGTCTATTGGCGAGCTGTTGAAATTTGAAAAGAGCATAATGACTTAACAGAGGTGTTTCCAAAATAAAACAAAAGTGCTGGAAAGCTAAGTGAAGGTTGGTGGGGATGGGATTACCAAAAAAGGTAAGTAGATCTACAGAATTCTGATTTTGCTGTGGGTTGAGCTAAATACTTTTGTCACAATTGTGTGATACAAAATAGTATCTTGATGAATTTAACATGTAGGATTGCACATATTTTACCACATATAAAGATCTCTTGTGAACTTGACACAACATATATTAAGTTTTCCCTTTTTCGCACACAAATTTTATGTACAAATACATAATCTGAAAAACTTTACAAGATCACTCAGTTTTTTTCCCGACAGGAAGTTACCATATGTTGCTGCTATATGTGTTTGTCTCAATATCCTAGTAGTTCTATGTACTTTCAGACTTAGTAATTAGGCATTCATGGACTTGACATTGGTGGAAAACATTGTTCATAGTAATCCTTGACATGTACCAAAAAGGAAGATCAACATAATTTGAGCTGCACAGAATACACTCAAATATCCATAAATATTGGGGGGGAGGGGGGCACGCTAAGGCTGTTCTTTCTCATGTCATAGAGATGAAATGGCAGAGAATTGTGTAGGAGTCCAAGGATTCCTGTAACTCACTGCTGCTGTATTGGAGCAAATGGTAGAGAGCAGCTCTCTTACAGTGGTGCCCAGACTACTGGATGTACATTTTATATAATGTGGTTGTGTAAGGTCTTGAATCTTTAGTTGGTGGCTTCACACATGTACTGTAGCAGCAAGCTTTTTTTTTCATGGGATTGGTGCAAACAATCCAATATCTCAGAGTGGTGCAGGTAAATTGAATGTTAGTTCTGGTAATGAATTACTGAATTCAGGCTCTGAATTTATGTATTTAAAAATATTTGTAGCATGAGTGTCTTGTGAATTGTGGTGGCTTATACCATAAATTCATCAGTAAAAACAGTAACATGGTTAAATTCAACAGTAAAAAAATCACTATTAAACAGCTGCAAGGGGAAATTATTTTAATGAGCTCAACAAATTATTTTAAATGGCATTGAAAATGTGAGTCAGCAAACCTGTTTAAAGCAGTATCTGCATCTGGCACCTAAAAACTGTCAAAGCAGAATGCTGTGAAAATTAACAAGAAAAAAGAGTTTCACAAATAAGGTGCCACAAACAAAAATGACATGTCCTTCATTGCTATCACACCACCTTGTTAAGGTAATGGTACTCTGAACAGAGTATCTGAACATCTTAATAGCTCAAAAAGTATCAGCAATACTTCAGTTACTTTGAATCCAAGACGTGGCTTGCAACATGTCCTAAAGCAAATTGGTAAATGGCAAAGCTGTTAAAATACTAGTGAGATACCTTATTTTCCTGCGTATAAGACTACTTTTTAACCTGCCAAATCTGTGGTTGAAGTGGGGGGTCGTCTTATACCCCGGGTATAAGGATAAGGGGGCTAGGGGTGCTAAAACTCTATATTTTGACTGGGAAAATGGGGGGTCGTCTTATACGCCTGGTCGTCTTATACGCCGGAAAATACGGTATGTTCATTGCTATTTGTTCCAGCTTGCAATGAGCAACTCTAGCATGATCTCATCTTCAAAAATGGGTGCAGTTGATATACTGAGTTATCTTAAAGTTATGGAGGGTATCATAACATCCATCTCTAATGCCAGATGTAACAGCACCCACAAACTGTGGAGTTCGTTCTTTGCAATATTGGTGAACAATTTTCAAGCTTCATGCACATGCATCTGCAAACATCATAATCCCTGCAGAATTTGCCACTGCATTGCAGCAGAACCAAATTGTTTTTGTTTGCTTCTTTCTTAGCTAATCATACAATCATATAGTATGCAAAGGAATCTTGTAGCACCTTTGAGATTACCTGAAAGAAAGAAGTTGGTAGCATGAGATTTTGTAGAGTTGAACATACTTCCTCAGCAAGCTGAAGTCTATGAAAACTCATGCTCCCAACTTCTCTTTCATTTAGTCTCAAAGGTGCTACAAGATCTCTTTACATACTGATTTTCCAGACTAACATGGCTATGTCTTTGAATGGAATCATACAGTTGGAAACCACAAGGGCCATTCAGTCCAAAGTAATGATACTCACGGAAGTTCTCTTAACCTCATAAACAAACCCATGTATCAACTTCAACCATTTTTAAGATGAAATCATGCTAGAATTGCTCATGATCAGGCAATACAGTATTCTGAGTAGACTGTTGTGATTCAGTCTGCCTTTGTAGAGTGCTTGAAAACTTTCATTAGTTCAGAATGTATCATTGAGCTGATACTGATAGTAAGGAATGGTTCTTATCAGTATTTTAGTAGCTTCACCATAAGACAGGTGTGTGGCTTGCTGCCAGTAAAACAGTGCTTCAAGAGTGTGTTTGTCATCAGAAGAAAGGCGCACAGGATGTGGGTCTTCCTAGACAAGGCTAAAGCACTTTGGGGAATTTTAGGGGAAATGCACCTTTATCCAAAACAAGTCTTTTGGGTTTTTTTTAAATCAAGTGTCACATGAGCCAACAGAATGTCAGCTCTGTCTGGCAATGTATTGTTGACTGCTAGATGTTAGCAAACAACAGTGGGAGAGGGCTCCTGCCCATGTTCTGCTTATAGGCCTTCCAGAAGCATCTGCTTGACCACTGTGAGAAGCACACTGTGGACTAAACGGACCTTTGATTTGATCCAACAAAGCTCTTTTTTTAATGCCTGCATGTTCTGATGAACTTCAATTAATTGGTCCTCATCCAGCCCATTGTCAGCTCACACACCTGTTCAGTGTGTCTACAGCACTCACTGAAATACATGGAAAGGAAAGAAACAGCTTTGTGCCATAAGCCTATTGGTGCTAGTTTTCTTTGTCCCTCCAAATGGCATCTCTTAACAGTTTTCGTGTGGCTAACAAATACCATGTGGGTCAAGAATAGACTTTTGAAACAATGCTGCATATATGTCATAAAGCAGAGCAGCAGTCCTCCATAGGGACTCTAGTTTCCATCTGAAATATACAGTCCCAGACCCTACCCTGGTTAATATTATCAAAAGCACTTGAAACATGTGGGAAGAATCATCACTGATCCACTCTTCACCCATCTCCTTATTCAGGTCTTTTAACAGGATGACCTAGATGGAAAATCAGTTATGTAGTATAACAGTGTTGCTCACATTCCAAAGTACCCCTGAAACTTAAGTGTATGTAGATCTTGTGATCTCAGCTAGCGATCCAGATACTTGCTATATGAGGGCTTTCTGATAAACATCTGTAAAATGCCACAATTTATTAGATTTGTTTATCATGCACGTATCTCCTGTGTTGAGTACTTTTCTGTAAATGTTGCCCATGGCGCGCTATATTGGTGTGTGCTCCTGAGAATGTGTCCATGCAATCTTCTTATGTATTTGCTTGCAAGGGAAATAGTATTTTAGTTAAAATATAACAGCTGCTGAATGTTCATGGGCACTTCTGACAACCTTACTCTTGTAGCAATCCTTTTCAAGTACTAATTTCAACATGATTTCAACACCACATCAAATTTAATTGAAACACAAACTGATTCTAGTACTGTATACATCTGAACGTTGTCTCTACCTGCTATATTTATGTGAAATAGTTGTTTCTTACATATTAAGCTGCTCTTTAGTTTCTTTTACAGTTGCTTAGGTAAGTATTCATTAAATCTCCTGAGTTTTAGGATGTTCACATTACATTTTTAGAAGAAACAGAAGTGAAGAAATGAAACTTGGAGACCAAAATAATAATAAATTATTATGAAATAGCTTACTGAATGAACAAAAATCTCTTTCTCATACTTATTCTGTCATTTTCTGAGTATGTGTATCATTCCTATACTGCTACTGTGCTGCTTACATATACCTGTTAATGCTTTGATTCGGAGCAATTTGATGCCTGAATCAATAATCAAGCAGGTGTGTGTGTGCTGGGACTTTTCTGCCTTTCCTTCCCATTACAATCATAGAGTTGGAAAAGACCACAAGGGCCATCCAGTCCAACCCCTGCCATGCAGGAACCCCCTGCATTGTAGCCCCTTGCCCAAAAGCTGTTCTGGGATAATGTGTGCTGGAGCATGATC